ATGGTACATAAATGTGTTTGCTGCCTGAGTAAGGCAAACAAGTTACAGTGATTGGTCCACTTACAGAGATTGAAGGAGACCTCAGAGAGGACCTGGTCCAACCCTTCCATTTGACAGAGGGGGAAACTAAGGCCCAGAATGATGAACGACGTAGGTAAGGTCTTAGACCCACTGTAGGAGCAGTTACTGAACACATATTATTAAATGCTTGCTATATATCAAGGGCTCTAAGGCACTAGAAGTATGGAGGTACATAATATAATCCCTGCTCTCCAGGAATTGACAATCTAGTAGGGAATCAGACCCATACCTCCTGCAGATAGTGAGCTCTAGATGTGATGCATGCTGAAATAGAGATATCTACCCAGAGCTAAGGGACGATGTGGGAGACTAATTAAACTAGAAGAGAAAAAAAGGCTACATAGAAATAATGTCAAAATGAGAAAGGAGGGATGTGAGAAAAGGTTATTTCAGGCAGATGGGAGGGCACAGCTCTCATAGAATCTTTGACTCTGAAGAGATGTGAGAGACCAGCTCTTCATATACTTTTTAAAATTCCCTATATATTATCCTGGAGAGATGACAATTCAGTTTCTGCTGGAACATTTCCAATGAGAGGAAAGTGATTACCTCACCAGACAGAAAAGGTTTAGCTCTAACCTTTTCAGGTGGTATTGCATTGTATGTGGGGGTCTGTCAGATTCTATCTCTTCATTGTCGCTGAATAACAGGCTTAGTAATATTTGGTCTTTGACTTCCTCTCGAGGGAATGAGAAAATGTCACGCATTTTAGGACCTTTGACTTACAGAATGTTAGAGCTGGGAGGAACCTCAGATATCATTTAGTGCGATTTTAAAAAAAATTCTATGATTCACGAATCCTCTTAGAGAATGTAATAAAAATCCAAAGCTCCTCTACCCCCCCCCCCCCCAATGCACATATGCTCATGACACACAAAATACTGCCTACAGTTTCAGGGCACTCATGGAGCCCCAAAGCTTGTCCTGGACTAAGAAATCTTTTCATTTTACTGATGAGAAACTGAGGCTCAGAGAAGTGGAATGGTATGGAGTAGAATCATGGAAGTGATTCCCCATGGATCAGAGCACTGGATGAGCAGAAGATTCAGACCTATGGGTCAACCCTGAAGAAAGGCATTGACAAACTGAACATGTCTGGGGAGCTGGCTGCAAGGGGATCTATTACAAAGTGAGAAGGAGAGCTGGGGTACGAGTGTGAGTATCATGAGCACCTTCTTTAATTATCTGGAAGTTGGTTTATAGAAAAGGATTTAGACTTTTCTCTTTTGCTTCAAAGGGTAGCTCAGGATCAAAAGGTAGAAAAGAACTTCTGCCAGACAGAACTGCCCACTAATGAAATGTCCTGCCTGAGAGGCACAGAACTTGTCACTTGACTTTTTGAGGACAGAGCGCAACTTCCCACGCAAGCGACTTTGGCATTACAAGAGCTTGAAGTGGGTGACCCAAACTGGACTTGATTATGTAACTCTAAGAGTCATACTCAGTCTCATGCACTAGCCAGAAGGAAGCTCAGGTCTCCTGAGAGCGTGGTGGTAAGTGAGGAAGTGGCAAAAGTTCAGGATGGCTGAGGCCTCGAGTGTGAGGGGTGGGAGGGTGGAACTAATGGAGAGAAATGAGACTTGGAGATATAAGCGGAAGTCAAATGTTGAAGGGTCTGACGTAGTATCACGGATGGTATTCAAGAATGATGGCCTCTGTAGAGCAGTGGGACAGAAGAACCGAAGCAAAGGACATTTCAGACAGAGGAATTAGCAGAATCAGTGGCAGCAGCACCCGTAGGGAAATCAGGCCAGGGGAGACAGGTTGTGGTGATGAGTTGTAGGTTTCACACAGTGAGCCTGAAGTGACAGTGACAACAGGACATGCAAATGGAAATGTCCAATGATCTGATATACTGGCAAGGAACAAGTGGAAATGCCTGGTAGGCAACGGATGATTTGGGATTAGAGTTCCAGGAGCTCAAGATGTGAGAGAGATGAAGGGGTTATCTACAGAGATGAAGTAATTTAAGTTTTCAGAGTAGACATATTTTCAATGAAAAAAGTACAGCATGAATAGAAGTCTGAGGAGTTAGCCTGCAGTGCTGACCTCAGTGTGGAAATGGTAATAATTAAGAAGATGTGAGAAGGGAGAGTTCAGGGACTTAGAGGAAATCTGAGACTAGAGAGTGAAATAAAAACCGGGGAAAAAGGAAGCTTCAAGGAATAAGAGTGATCAACATAAACACAGTCTTATTTTCATGTGCATTCAACTCTGTGCTTTGGCAGGGAAACTACAGTAATGTGCATTTTGGCAACCTCATAGGAGGTGCAGTATGAGATGTAAAGTGCTTTTAAATGGATTATAGGTATTTCCTAAATAGTATTTTCTAAAAAAAAAATGACTTAGAAAATATGACTAAAACTCCTCTCTCTCCCAATTTCTCTACCAGTAAAATAGTAATCCCTTTAAGTTTAATCAGTTTCTTCAACATCCTTACTTTAAGGAAGGTGATTTCTGCCATCGTAACGTGAGAAATAGGGAAAGGTACGTTGAGGCAACATGATGTGCCTGGGCCAAAGAGGCAGCAGCAGCAAAGACTGAATTTAACATTCTGATTTCTGTTTCTTAAAACCAGATCTAACACCAAAATTAAACACTGACTCAGATTTTCAGAAATAACTTTTGAGAAATAAAATTAATACAACTTAAATCAGTTACTTCTCCATTTAAATATTTCTCTTGGAGATCTATGCTACAATATCTGTAGGAGGTGATGGTTAGGAAGTGTAAGAAACTTGTTCACTCCCAATAATGAGGACCAATAAAGGAAAGACTGTGACTGAGAAAAAGTACAGGAGATTTTCAGTTTTGGTAATTTCAATGATTATCACAGTAAGCACAGCTACCATTTAAAAATGTTTTTAAAAATCAATTTCAGAAACTAAGAATTAAGAACAAAGAGGGCCTATCTTTCACAACACTGAAACGAATCAGGATAACAACTAAAAGGGCAGAAGGTGGGGGTTAGACTACAAAGATGTCTCCTAAATCTCCTTGTCGGTTCAAACCCTCTGGGCTTGGAGTTACAAAAGGCCATGTTAGGGGAAAAATACTGCAAACCAAGTACTCTTTTTAAGCATGGCATTATTTGAAACCCCTTCCTCCATAGAGCTCTTCTGATAAATGTATTTTCAGTTCCCAGCGTACACTGACTTGGAACTCTTGGCCCCAGGCATACAGCCTCTGGGCAGCATCACTGGAAAAGGAGAGGAAGAGGAGGCTGAGGTTACTAACAACGAAGACAGGGGTTTCCACTGAGCTGGAGGGTGCCTAAAATCAGCTAGTCTAATTTGTCATGTTTTGCAGATAGAGAAACTGAGGCCCAGAGAGAGAAATGCTGTGTTCAGTTCATCTTAAGTAAATATCAGATGCTGGATTTGAACCCAGGTCTCCTTTTCACTCAACCACAATCCTTCTATTCCACTGGAAAGGGAGTTTGGGGTGGGGGAGAACTCTGGGGCCCCTCTCTCCAGTAACGAAGTGGAATGTGTTTGGATCAATACACTCCTTTTTGGGAACACAGAAAGTCAGCCATGGTGGCTTTGTAGAGCCCCACCTCATATTCAGGTAGATATGACTTTAAATTCGGAAAGTGGATCCTCACACATTAAACTTGAGTTTATAGAAACATCGGTAGTCGGAAATACAATATTCCTTCTCTTGCAGAGAATGTTTACTTGCAACTCAGGATAATTTGTCACATGCATTACCCACTTACAGTTGTCACTCACATGCAGAGAACTTTTATGAGAAGGATGCAAAAGAGGCACGTAGAGGCTTTAGGTTAATACTGGATTTTTGGTAAAAGTGAAAAGAGCCTTGTTATGAGAAGAGTGCAAAATAATACTTCCCAAGATATCAACTATTTCATTAGCTTCAGAGTCACAGAAAATGATGTGTTCCTGTCAATCTTGTCTTGAAGACTGACAAGATGGTTAGCATTCCAGCTCATAGTGGTATTCAACTTCTTACTAACATAGTTTATCTTGCCTTTTATTATTATTTTTAACTGTTATTTATTACACTTATGCTTCCTCCTTGTGGAAAATATATGGTAGGATTCAAGAATTGGAAGGACTCAAGATTTGGAAACATTCAAGATACAGCCAGGAAGTTATCCCTCAAGAATCTGCCTGTCATCCGTATCTTTCTCATCAGAGGTTTCGGTATTACACCTAACGCAATACTCTCTTGCTATTTAAAATACCCAAAACAAGTATCAAAGAAAAGGCAAACAAAGGCATAATCTAGAATCAATTACTTATGGTAAAATAATCACAATGTATAATAGGCAAAAATGACCATTTTGCATATTAAATATCATTATCCAAAAAAGTGTGAGGTCCTCGAAGCAAGTACTATTTTCTCCTTAGGCTCAAGCCAAGAGTTTTGTATGTGTAGTAAGAATTCAATCAATATTTCTTGAATAAATTACATTACCTAGTACAGATTTGTTAAGGAATAGGTGGGGGAAAGCAAGTTATTTATGCAAGTTGGTTGCTTCAATCAAATCAAAACTAGACTTAGTCTAGCAAAAGTAGGCTAGATATTGGCATAAGTTTCTTGTGGAAAGGTAGGAAAGGTGAGAGGACAGTTATCCTTTCGTAGCTTACTGCAGGTAGCACCCCCATCCCCCAACTCCTTGCCATGGGTGGGTGTGACGGTGATTTGTTCCGGAGTTAGAAGGTCAAGGACTAACCTAGAGGAACAGCCACCAAGTAGAGATTAGGCCGTTATCCTTCCTGTTAGCCTCCTCTGAAGGGCTGGTGATCAGAAGGGGGAAGGTGACATGGGTACAAGGATCACAGTGATTTCAGATTCCCTCCTGATTCTCTCTCCTGGCCACTCCCACCACCGTGCCCCATTCCATGTTGACTCTGAGTTGTGAGAACACATTCTCTAGACCTCATACTTACTTGGCAGCAGCATCTTTTCTCAACTGTTCATGCTTCATGAGGAGATTTTTCCGGTCTCGGAAAGCTTTTCTGACCTTGTACCCTTTGTAGACAGCCTGGATTTTGAAGGCAGCAATGTCCTGTATGGCTGCGATGGACAGGGCACCGTGCTCCAACATGAACTGGATCACTTCATGGCGCTCACCAAGCAAAGCGTAATCGAGGGGAGTGTACCTGAAGCACGGAGATTTTTTTTTAAGTGTCAGAATGTAGTTCAGGGCACAGTTAAACTGGCAATATTACGCAGCAGAAGGAAAACTCATTCTAAGATGTGGAAATGTTCCTCAGGCAAAGCTATCTTCTGTACTCCAGGACTGCTCCTTTCATCTCTGATGCACACAAAACAAGGGTGAAGCTGGGGTCAGGTGCTTTGTGCTGCTGACCATGTCTATTCCTCAGTTTTGCTAACTTGCTCACAAATCAGAATACATGATCACTTTTCTTCTTCCCCATGTTCCAAGTAATTCCTTGCTCCTATCTGAAAAAAGCACTGCAAATAATATTCTGTGAGATTCATAAGTTTGAGCCCATGATTACTGATAGTTAATGCTTATGAAATGAAAAATATACCTCCAAATGGAGAGATTTAGTCTATGATAAAGATGGCCTTTAAATCACCACAGTAAGGATGGATTATTAAATAGAGTTGGGACAACAGGGCAACCATCTGGCAAAAAAAGATTCTTACACACATTTCACTCCAAAATGGATGAAGCAAAGATCTAAATATTAAAAAAAAAAAAGAAACCATGAAAGTACTAGAAGAAATCATGGAAGATTTTTTAAAATATTGGAGTGAAAAGTTTTTTCCAAAAAAAGATACAAAAATTCAGAAGCCTTAAGATTGATAAATCCAACTACATAAAAATAACAAATACTTATAAGGCAAAAATACCAAACAAAGATAAAAGTTCTTCAAACAGGAAATACTAGTGGCTCCTAACATATAAAAATATATTCAACCTCACTCATTTAAGAGAAATACAAATTAAGACTAATATGAGTGAGCACTTTAATGATCAGCTTAGCAAAGATCAGAAATGTTTAATAACACACTCTGCTGGCGAGGGTGGAGGGAGACAGGCTTTCCGCATGCTACCTTAATCTTTGGGGAGACACTTTGGCACGATATACAGGAATTATTCATGATCTGCCCTTGACATAGCCATTTCACTTACATGCATTCATCCTATAGATATGCTCTCCTGTGTGAAATGCTGTATGTACGAGGATATTCATAGAAGCACAGAAACAACCTCAATTCCATCAACAGAGGACTGGTTAAATAAAGTACAGGCCATCCATGTAATAAAGTCATCTGCATAATGCAGCCGTTATTGTGGTATATGCATATATAAGGAACAATTTCCAGGATGACTTGTTCAATGAAGGAAAAGAGAAAAAAGTAAGAGACAGAGCAGTATTATGGTGTGCTCCACTGATATAAAAAGAACACATCCCTGTGTGCTCATCTATGTAAAATATATCTCTAGAAGTTTCCCAAGAAACTGGTGACAGTGATGCCTCTGGGAAGGAAGCTAGTTGCCTCAGAGATGGGGGTAAGTGGGACACTTAGTTTTACTAAATGCCCTTAAATTTTGTACAATGTGCATACCTTTTTGATAAATATATTATTCAGAAAAGATGGGTATTAGTGTCATATAGTTATGTATTTGAATCTCAACTGACTACTTTCTAGATGTGTGATTTTAGGCAGATTCCTTTAAAAAATATATATTCTCTTGGGACTTCTCTGGTGGTGCAGTGGTTAAGAATCTGTCTGTCAGTGCAGGGGACATGGATTCGGGCCCTGGTCTGGAAAGGCCCCACATGCTGCAGAGCAACTAAGCCCATGCACCACAACTACTGAGCCTGTGCTCTAGAGCCCACGAGCCACAACTACTGAGCCTGTGTGCCATAACTACTGAAGCCCGCGCACCTAGAGCCCATGCTTTGCAACAAGAGAAGCCACTGCAATGAGAAGCCCACTTACTGCAACAAAGAGTAGCCCCTGATCACTGCAACTACAAAAAGCCCACATGCAGCAATGAAGACCCAATGCAAAAAGAAAAAAATATATATCTTCTCTATTTTTGGAAATATAAACCAAATTGGATAAATACACAGAAGAAAATAAGTCATCTATACTCCCACACTCAGAATTAACCACTGTTAATATCTTTGCAAGTATGCTTTCCTTTTTTAAAGAAAAATGATTACTTTGTAAAACTGACACATAGTTTAAGAATTCAAACAATGCAGAAAGTACACAAATTTGAAGTAAACACCCCAAATTCTACCATCCAACAATGGTAATGATGGTTGTCACTTCCTAACCAACTTACTTGGTGCTTCTAAGCCCCGCTTTTCCTAATCACAGACTTGGCACGAAGAGAGAATGAAATAATCAATGTGAGGAAGATAGCAATGTGCCTGGCAAGAAGGAAGCAGTTCATAAAAGTCAGCTGTGATTGTTGATATTACAGGACATACACTGCAGCACAGTTGGTGATAGCACAGTCACTTATCACGAATATTATCTGCATAGGACTGAAACTAGAACTTATGACTACTGAAAAACCACCTGATCGGATCCCTCTGTGTGACTGTTGCTGAGTTAGTGGGTCAGAGGTGTTGGGAGGAAATAATCAGTTGATTGATGAGATGGAAAAATGATGATTATATGGATGCATGATTAGACACAGAAAATCATCCAATGATTATAGAAAAGAAACTTGCTCTTCAAAACTCACCTAACAGTCACAGTAAGATATAAAAGGAAGAGGTTTTCAGTAAAAGCAAAAGGTGATTTGATCATTTTAGTAAGGAAACTATAAATTCAGAAGGAAGTCCTAAATGCTAAAATTAAGGAACCCCCATTTTAGGACAGCTTGATCTGCCACTACTGTTCAGAAACCAGAAGGCCATAAAGCAGAGGTGCCTATATAAACTTTAAAACATTATTTATACGTAAATAGCATTTTATAAATTCAGAAGGACTTTTACAAATTTCACTATATATTCTATCAATAAAATGCCTTTCAGAGGCTTCCCTGGTGGTGGCGGTGGATAAGAATCTGCCTGCCGATGCAGGGGACACAGGTTCGATCCCTGGTCTGGGAAGATCCCACATGCCGTGGAGCAACTAAGCCTGTGCACCACAACTAGTGAGCCTGCGCGCCACAACTACTGAAGCCCGCGTGCCTAGAGCCCATGCTCCACAAGAGAAGACACCGCAGTGAGAAGCCCGCTGACTGTAATGAAAAGTAGCCCCCGCTCGCTGCAACTAGAGAAAGCCCGTGTGTGGCAACAAAGACCCAACACGGCCAAAAAAAAAATGCCTTTCATGACTGTACTTTCCCCAATAGAAGTCATCAGAGTCATAGAACCACACAAGAGTAGAGCTGAATTGAATTTAGAGTAGAGCTGAATTGAATTTTAGAGGTTTAGTTTAACACCTTCATTTCATAAGTGAATAAACAGACTCAGAAAGATTAAGCAACTTACTGAAGGTCAAGTTAATAGTTACCTGCAAAATCTAGATGAGGACTAAAATCACACGACTCCCTGTTCAGTAATCCTTCCATAATTCATCTATCAATTATTGAATATACATGTCTCCTATAGAATGAAACTGCTTCTAAATCAACATGCAAATAACATATGTATTTTTAGTAAGCTTGATCATTTTTTCTATAATTACTAATATATAGTGTCTTTCACATAGTATACAAACAGTATTATCAAAATATGGCTTATGAAAATGAGGCCCAAATTATGCATTTACTTACAAATATGACAAAAAGAAATGACATGGGCATAATATACCCTAAAGAATGCTGAACTGGAAGTCAGCAGACCCCTGGGCATTCTCTTCACTTCTCTGACCTTCTATTTCCTCATCTGTAAAAGGTGAAAGGAAGGGGAAAAGAACTAGATCTCTCAGGCTGCTTGTGGATAGAAAGTTGCATTTCAAATATGTTAAATATTTTTATTACAAAAAAATTATATTTTTATTATGAGAAAATTCAAGCATAAACAAAAGAGAACAGCATAATAATGCTTTATATTCTCATTACCCAAATTTAATAATTAGCAAAACTTTTGCCGTATTTGCTTCATCTATCCCCTTCCTTTTTATCTTTGCTCAAGTATTTTAAAGCAAATTCCAGGGGAATTCCCTGGCGGACATGGCGGTTTCACTGCCAGATCCTGCAAGCCCGAGCAGCGGCTCGGCAAATAAATAAATAAATAAATAAACAAACAAACAAATAAAGCAAATCCCAGAGCTCATATCATTTAATCTCTCTGCATTTTAGATTCATCTATAAATAATGTGAACATAACCACAATGTCCTTGTATTAACAAAATTAACAGGAATTCCTTAGTAAGATCTAATGCCTACTCTAAATACATGTTCTCCTGTTTTTCTCAAAAATGTCTTTTTGTTTTAACAATTGGTTTATTCAAATTACAATTCTCAGTCAATTTTTGATTCTAGCAAGGTTTAAGACTGACATCTATACCTAGTGTTTAAGCAACTGACCATATTGTGATTATTACTATTGAATTTTTCTTCATCCCAAACTCAATTTAGAAACATTCTAGTGCTGTGAATACTCCCATCTATGTCAGAGTATGGCTGTCAGATAGTTATTGACTGAAAATCAGCAGTGGTTGGCAAAAATTATGTCTATACAGTGCACATCAAATGGTTTGTGTCAATGCACATGAAGTAAAAATTAGCACTACATTGATGGTAACCAGTCAAGAAACAATGTAGATAAAGACAAGCGACAAGATTCAACTGGACTTGCCATGTGGGAATGGTCTGATGGAATAAGGAGAATGCCTAAACTGGAATGTCAATAAATATAAAAGGCAGTGCTAAGTCCCGACATTTGTACATCAAGGTGCATGGCTGATGAAACATTAAAGGAGACTGGGATATTGCGACTGTCTCTTTTTACCTGTAGACTGGCAAGTACACTTAGGAGGCTCTTTCCTTTGGTCTTTTGGTCTGTAATTAACATACGTTTACTCCAGCAGGCAGTAAGCACCTTAATTCACGTGCTTACTTAGGTCTGAAATTCAAGGGTTAGCATATAAATGGAAATTGAATTACAAAATATTACTTTTTTTTTATTGTTTCCTAAAAAAATAGCAGTCAGGCAGTAAACACTGTTATAGAATACATCCTTATCTTTCCCTTTTGTTTTTTCACAGTTTCAAAGGGAGAAACCTTCAGCACCCTCACATATCTGCTTTTGTTTTTTGTTTTTTTTAGTTTTTAAAGGAACCTCCATACTGTTCTCCATAGTGGCTGCACCAATTTACATTCCCACCAACAGTGAAGGAGGGTTCCCTTTTCTCCACCTCATTGTAGTTTTGATTTGCATTTCTCTGATAATTAGCGATGTTGAGCATCTTTTTTTTTTTTTTTTACCGGTACACGGGCCTCTCACTGTTGTGGCCTCTCCCGTTGAGGAGCACAGGCTCCGGATGCGCAGGCTCAATGGCCATGGCTCACGGGCCCAGCCACTCCATGGCATGTGGGATCTACCTGGACCGGGGCACGAACCCGTGTTCCCTGCATCGGCAGGCGGACTCTCAACCACTGGGCCACCAGGGAAGCCCCACATATCTGTTTTAATGTCAAAACCTCAGCCTTGAGGACTTCACTTGGCTTTCCAGTTTCCTTAAGTGTTCAAATACCTAAATCTTCAAGTCTTTTTTTGTTTTGCAATTGTCATTTGACTATAATAGAGACAGTGAGTTCTTTATATAATTGTTACCAAGTCCAAGCTTGCTCTGCTCACCGCACGACAGCCCAATGAATCGGAGATGAGGTGTTGAGGCAAGGAATACTTTATTTGGAAAGCCGGCAGACCAAGATGGCAGACTAGTGTCTCTGAAAAACCATCTTATCTGGGTCTGGATGCCAGTTTATTTTATAGAATCAGAGAGGAAGAGGCAGTGAGGAAGTAAAATAAAATGGCAACCAGTCTTGCAAAACATCTCCTGAAATGGCCAGCCTCGGTGAGGGGATGTGTTGGTTTCTTTTTTCTTGCAGCCATTCACAGGTGGGCAGCGTTCCCTGAGGCAGGCCATTATGTATGATTATAGTAACAAAAGGAACGAAAAGCAAAGGTTAAAGTCAAAGAAACAGATCCAAGGTGGAGTCTGATTTAGCTCTTCCCTGTTACTTATCACTCCCAAAGTAAGGCACACTAATCTGCTTTACCTAAGTCTGCACATGGTCTAAGAATTCCACATAAGTTTCTAAGGCTGGTATGAAGCAGGGTGATGCTACTAGGAGCCTGAAAACACCGATTTGACAACTCAACAGTTATTTACTGAGCATCTACTTCATGAAAGGCACTGTGAGCAATATAGAGATGACCATGATCTTCAGGAGTTCTCCATTAATAGGGAAGACAGCTTACATACAATCATAACATAATGTGAAATGTGCCAAGTGCTGTAAAGATTCACAGTGTAGGGAGAACACAGTTTGGGACACATGACTGTGGGACAGAACAATCTTCTTAGACGAGACTGCATTTGAACAGGGGAATGACATGATTAACAATTATATTAGCAATATGATTTAGAAAGGCTACTTTGGAAGGTGAGGAGTTGAAGGAGGGAAAGATCAAAGGAAGGAAAACAAGTAAAGCATTGTGATAATCCCAAAAAGAGTCAAAGAGGGCAAGATCTAGACAATGGTGCTGGTAATGAAGTGGAGATGACAGTGTGAACCAAGGAGGGGTGCTGAGTCTGAAATAGAGATTGAGAACTCACAAGCACTCAAGTGAGTGCGGAAGCCTCGGTGGTTGGTCAGGTCCCCAAAGGAGATAGGCTGAGAGAAGAGATCCAGTCCTTGAAGACTGTTTATATTTAAAAAATAAAAAATGGAACAGAAGCCAAAGAAATGGAGAAGGCACATGATTAGAAGAGAACTGGGGGACTTCCCTGGTCATGCAGTGGTTAAGAATCCACCTGCCAATGCAGGGGACACAGGTTCAAGCCCTGGTCCAGGAAGACCCCACATGCTGTGGAGCAACTAAGCCCGTGCGCCACAACTACTGAAGCCCCTGTGCTCTGGGGCCCACGTGCTGCAACTACTGAAGCCCGCGCGCCTAGAGCCTGTGCCCTGCAACAAGAGAAGCCACCGCAATGAGAAGCCCGCGCACCGCAACGAAGAGTAGCCCCCATTCGCCACAACTAGAGAAAAGCCCACGCGCAGCAACGAAGACCCAAAGCAGCCAAAAAATAAAAAAATAAAAAAATAAAAAAAATAAAAGAAGAGAATTGGGGAAATTCCCGGGGCATTCCAGTGATTAGGACTCTGCTTCTACTGCAGGGTTTGATCCCTGGTCAGGGATCCCACAGACTGCGAGGCACGGGCAAAATAAATAAATAAATAAAATAAAATAGAAGAAAATATACTGTCACAGAAGCTTAGAGAAGATATAGGCTCAATAAGGTAAAGAAGAGGAGGAAATAGAAAGGAGATAAAGAAAGGCCAATGAGGGTGGGCAGAGAAGACATCATGAAGACATCATGTGATTTATCAACTAGGAATTTGTCAGTGACCATTCAGACACAGATTTCAGTCTAAATGTGATGATAAAGAAATGGAGGCAGGGAAGACACTGTGGGAGAAGGCAAAGAAGACAAACTTCAGAAGAAAGAGAACTGGAGAATAACAGATGGAGGTATAACTAATGGGGAAAGGTCCTGAAAGAAGTGGGAAAGATGAAGGCCTCATGTTTCCTCCAAGACAGCAGGCCTAGAGAAACCCTCTTTCCTACAGAGTTTCCCATCTCCTGACAGAAAGAGCTGATGGTGACCAAGAGTGTGGGGATGGTGTCACTGCAGGGCCATTTTAGTGACAGCATCCATGAACAATGAAAACTAAAGCACAGACCTGGGCTGGGGGGACTCAGGTATGGAAATCTGATTACCATCTTATTCGTTACCTACAAGTTACTAGAATCTTCCTAGATCCAAGGCCATCAAGAATCTCTCTTGCTTAGACTTCACACTATGTCTAGTCCTTTTTATTGGGCCTGGGTTCTTAGACAACAACTCCAGCCTAAATCATATTATTCAAGAAATCTGTATTTAAATTAAAATCCCAAACTTTCATCTTAGTTTCTCCTTATTTTTTCATGCTGCGTGGTGGCACCTCTGTCCATTAACTGATAATATCCTCTTCATCAAGAGAAACTTCTTGAATATATAACACATTCCACTGGCCTAACCGAATTCGTAGTCCTGGTCAGTCAGGACTCCCCTGACTTGATGCTACCAGCCAAAAGCCAGAAGCCCTAATTTCTTCATCTGGAAAATGTGAGCTTGCCCTAGGCAGTATCTAAAGTTCTGAGTAACTTTAAAATCCCATGATTCTAGAACACATGTATATGTATAACTGATTCACTTTGTTATAAAGCAGAAACTAACACACCACTGTAAAGCAATTATACTCCAAAAAAGATGTAAAAAAAAAAAATTCCCATGATTCTAAATCAACACTGCATAGAACTTTTGTTCTTTTCTTCTGGTTCAGGATTTCCTAGTGTAGTGTTTCCTTATGAATATACTTATTTCTGAACCAATATCTAAACTTGAGATTTTTAAAATATGGCAGAAAGGATGTGAGATGAACAATATATTCCTTTTATCAATGGCTTACCTCTCTTCATTGTTTTCCATCTGATTAGGGAAAGCAGCAAAGTCTAGTAGTAATTTAATGGCATCAAGGTATCCATTGTTACAGGACCAGTGCAAAGCTGTCCTTCCCTACAAGCATAAAGAAAAATCAAGTACATCTGGTGTCGGTATTTTTGGACACATAGTTATTTATGATGACTCAAATATATAAACACTTCTCTCAAACTGCTTAATTACAAAAAGAGAAAATATTAAGTATACAGTGGAGAAAATGGACTGTATCTTAACCAAATGATCAAAATTAATACTATGTTAAGAGGCATCAAATTTCTCCAGAAGTGATATCCTGAGAATTCAATATCACTTATGCAATATTCCAACCCAAAACGTAAAACTTGAATCTAATTATGATGAATCATTAGGCAAACTCAAATTGAGTGAAATTCTATAAAATAAATGGCCTGTATTCTTAAAACGTTTCAATGTCATGAAAGATAAAAAAGGCTTGAAGCATTGCTAGAGATAAAAAGGAATACTTCATAGTGTTAAAGGCGTCAAAGAGGAAGATATCACAGTCCTAAATCTGTATGCACATAATAGCACAGCTTCTAAATATACAGGATTAAAATTGACAAAATTGAAAGGAGAGATAGTCATATCCATAATCACAGTGGGAGATTTTTAACCCATCTTTACAATAGTTGATAGAACAAATAGATAAAAAAGCAGTAAAGATATAAAAGGCATGAATAATACAATGTAAAATTTGAACTAAGTGATATGTATATAAAACATTGCATCGAAAAATGACAAAATTAGTACCCTTTTCAAGTATACATAGAACATTTACCAAAATCAACCATGTGTGAGGATATAAAGAAAGCCTCAAAAGCTTTTGAAAGATTAAAATAGTTCAGAGTATGTTATTTAACTACAGTAAAATTTAAGCTACAAATCAGTGCGGTAGGTAGAATAAGGAACTCCCTTGCAAAGATGTCTACATCCTAATCTCTGGAATCTGTAACTATGTCATATTAAATGGAAAGGGGGAATTAAGGTTGTAGATGGAATTAAGGTTACTAATCAGCTCACTCTGAGTTGGGGAGATTATCCTGGATTATCCAGGTGGGCCCAATATAACCACAAGGGTCCTTATAAATAAGTGACAGAGAGAGGCAGAAGGTGAATGTCAGAGTGATGTAGCATGAGCGAGACTCAGCCAGTCACTGCTAACTGTGAGGAATGCAGCCACAAGCCACAGAATGTGGGCAGCATCTAGAAGTTGGAAAAGTCAAGGAAGCAGATTCTCTCCTAGAGCCTCCAAAGAGAATGAAGTCCTGCCAACACCTTGGTTTTTAGGACATTTTGGACTTCTGACTTCCAGAACAGTAAGATAATAAATTTGTGTTGTTCTAAGACACTAAGTTTCTGGTAATTTGCTATAGCAGCAATAGGAAACCAATATAATCAATAACAAAAAGATAATGAGAAAATGCCCAACTGCCTGGAAATTAAACAATACACTTCTAAATAATCTATGAGTCAAATAATAAATCAAAATGGAAATCAGACAGTGTTTGAGTTGAATGATAGTGATTGTACAATCTATCCAAATTTGTAAGATGGAGCTAAAGCATGCTTAGAATAAGAAACATGCTTAAATACATATACTGAAAAAAAATATTGAAAAAAATCAATGATTTAAACTTTCATCAAAAGAATCTTTTAAAAAATATTAAATTTGATGGAAGCAGATGGCAGGAAATAATAAAGATAAGAGTAAATACCAATGAAATAGTGAAAAAGTTAAAATATAGAAAATAAAAAAAGACTAGAGTCCTTTGAAGAGATGAATAAGCAAGACTGAAATTTTTTAAAAAAAGGAAAAGAGACAACATGTATTACCAATGTATGGAATGAATAAGAGGAAATCATTACAGGTCTTACAGACATAAAATAGAAAACAGAATGTATGATGAGCTTTATGAGAATACATTTGACATTTTTAATAAAATGGATAAATTTCTCAAAAAAAATGCAACTTACCAAAGCTGAACGGAAAATGATTAGAAAATCTGAATTGTCTTTTAATTATTAATGAAGCTGAATCAGTTATTAACAACCTTTGCACAAAGAAAACCCCTAGACCAGATGACTTCAGCAGGGAATTCTTCCAAACATTTAAAGAAGAATTTAACACAATCTTACACAAATTCTTTAGGAGAATAAGAAAAGAGGGACTACTCCCTCTTTTTATAAGGTCAATGTAACCTTGCTACCAAAACCCGACAATACAAGAAAGGAAAATTATAGGTCAATCTCTCTCATGAACATAAATGCAAAAATCTCATAATATTAGCAAACAAAAATCCATCAATACATATATTTCAAAAATATATCATAAGTAGGACAATGTAATCAATGTAATTCACCACATTAATAGCAAATAATAGAAAAAATAACATAATCATGTTGATAGATGCAGATACAGTATCTGATGAAAATTAAACAGCTAATTGTTATTTAGAAGAACTCTTAGCAACCAAAAATATAAGAACACCTACAGCAAACATCATATTAAACAGCTAATTCTTATTTAGAAGAACTCTTAGCAACCAAAAATATAAGAAAACCTATAGCAAACATCATATTCAATGGTGAAATATTTAAAGCTTTCCCCTGAGAAGCCAGAATGACTTAAGGATGTCAGCTATCACCAGTTCTATTCAACATTGCATTGGCGGTCCTAGCTAGTTCAATAAGGCAAGACAAAGAAATGAAAGTCATAAGAATTGGAAAGAAAGAAATAAAAATGTTATTGTTCACAGACAGCATGATTGTTTATTTGGATAGTCCAAAACAATACACAAGAAAACTAACAGAAGTGGGAAGTGGCTTACATAAGTAATATACTATTTATGTATGAACTTGTAAAAAAAAAATGTAAAAGGTACAACAAAGTATAAAAGATGCATTTCTAATAACATTGGCATAGGGACCATATTTTACACATTTTTCATTATGTTACTTTCACATATAGTAACAATCTTGATAAATACTTATTCAATGAATTAATAGGGAATATATTTTCTGACTTGGAAAACATAATATGCTAGTATTTTTAAAGAGTTAAAGTAAGTAAACTAGCAAAATATGTCAATATTGGCTAAATTGAGAGAAATCAATACACTGCTACACAGCTGAGGGAAGCATAGATTGACCTGTGTGTTTTAATAATTGGTGTGAAAGTATATATCAGAGCCTAGTCACATTCATATACCATTCATTACTTTGATTCAAAAATCTCACTTACATGAAATTATTCTAAGAGAATAACCCAAAAGGAAAAAGTTAAATGCACAAAGATGATTAACGTAACATGTTCTATAAATAATGAAAAAGTATCCAGCAATAGGAAGTTACTGATTTAATTCTGAAGTCAAGGTTACAGGCATAGCTTGGACCTGACTGCCCCCCAATACTCCCACCACTGTTGTCACCTTAGGGTAATTATTTAAGCTCCATGAGCTTCAATTTCCTCCTCTGTAAAACAGGGATGATAATAGTAACTACTTTATAGACTTGCTGTGAGGAGTGAATGAGTTATTTTACAGAAAGCTCTTAGAACTTTGGAATATTAAGCATCCATAATTATGAAAAAAATTATATACCAATTGAAAAAGTACTGGTGATAGTTCTAAGGGAGCAAAACAAAATGTGGTTTGTAAAATCATATGATATATATATTTATATACCTATAATCATATGCCATGTATATATATTTTATAAAAGTTTTCAAACTGTTCCCGTTCTATATGATGACTTTTTAAAATTATATATAGATATATAGGCAAGGACTAGAAGAGAACATGGACAAATACAAATCACTTTTAATTAACAGATTTGTGAGTGATCTCTTCACTTGGTAAATTGTTGTCTTCCTTAATTTTAGTTAACAAAGAAGCAATGCTCCAAACACTTTGGAGCAGACAATATAAAAAAGATGTAGAATTTCTACCTCTTTGTCTTGAATGTTAGGGTCTGCGTTATTTTCCATGAGCACGGCCATGCAGTTGATATATCCCCCATATGCAGCGCACTGCAGTGGGGTTCTTCCTGCATAATCCTGCACATTTGGGTTGATCTTATTTTCTATCAATATCTGGCAGACATCAGCATTTCCTCCCAGCGCTGCCCAGTGTAGAAGAGAATGTCCATCTTGGTCGACTAGATCTACCCTTGCTCCACCTGAAAAAGCAAAAATATAATGAAAATGTCTAATACAGAGAGCATTTATCAAAAAGAAGTTAAAAAAATATAACAACAGTCCTTTAAATGCTTTACTCTTAGCAAAAATCTTTCATGTATATCATCTACTTCAGATTTTTACAATAAGCCTGTGAGCTGGTCAGGGTAGGACTCCTTCCCCTTTTACATAAAGTGAAACTGAGGATCAGGCCGATGCAGTGACTTTCTGCAAATCGAACAGCTACTAACAGGTGGAGCTAGCAGTGAACCTTGAGTTTCCTGATGCCAGGCTCTTCCCTCCATCCTTCTACCCAAGCAGCTCTCTGCCATGTAAAGCTGTATTTCAAAAGGCGAATGGAGGGGCTTCCCCGGTGGCACAGTGGTTGAGAATCTGCCTGCCAATGTAGGGGACCTGGGTTCGAGCCCTGGTCCGGGAAGATCCCACATGCCGTGGAGCAACTAAGCCCGTGCACCACAACTACTGAGCCTGCGCTCTAGAGCCTGTGAGCCACAACTACTGAAGCCCGTGCGTCTAGAGCCCGTGCTCCGCAACAAGAGAAGCCACCGCAATGAGAAGCCCGCACACCGCAACGAAGAGTAGCCCCCACTCGCCACAACTAGAGAAAGCCCGAATGCAGCAATGAAGACCCAATGCAGTCAAAAATAAGTAAGTAAGTAAATAAATAAATAAATAAAATCTATTAAAAAATAAGGTGAATGCAAGAAATCCTACCTTTTGAGAGTGACTTGTTAGGAGCACTCTTAATAACTAACCTTTGATGAGTGTCTGAATCACATCTTTGTGTCCCATCTCACAGGCTCGGAAAAGTGGAGTATGTTTCATGACATCAGTAGCATCTACTTGAGCATTATTTTCCAATAATAACTTCACGGTGCTGACATGGCCAGAAAGGGCAGCAGCATGTAAAGCTAGAAAGGGAGCGAAAGGAAGTGAAGAACCTCCAAATAACAGCTTTACCTTTTTATTATACTAACTATGTGTCTCCTTCACTTTTGATTTTCTCATCATTTTGGCTAAATGCAATTTAATCTTCAGGATTTTCTATTTTTTAACTTTAATAGATTTCTATCTTCCTTTCTATTCATATGTATTACTCACACTTTTCCCCTTTCCTTCTACCTTTCTCATCTCACTGTTTTCTTCCTTTCCATCCTGTTGTTCTGAAATGGTCTCCTCAGTTACTAGTTTATTATCTTTTTCCTCTTTCTAAGAGAGTAAGAGAACAAAAAATGACAAAGAGAAATGATTTAAATGATGCAGGCAATTCTGCCCACAAACCCACTCAATTAGTATATGTCCCTGAGAGGTTGTGTGACGGGACCGTCCATCTACTGTTCCTTCAGTTGGTTACCTGGGCTGTTCCTGCAGTTGGTCTGTGTACCCACATGGTACTGAGAGTATGTGTATCTTACTGCACTGAGTGCATTTTTCATACAACATGACTCCAAATGCAAGTCAGCTATTTCCTCAGGGCGCAATTTCAAAAATAGCAATTCATTTCAAGATTGGAGAAAAAAGTGAGATGGAACGTAGTCTCCTCTCTGGTAAGGGGTTTGAAAGAGTAATTATGACTATGTGTGAGTTTCATGTTATGCTGATCCCTGCCTACATTATTCCACTCTAGTGCTTATGTCATCACTCTTTAGATTACTCTTGAAATTCTATTTAATTCATCACTCTCTAAATTCTGAATTTTTCAGGATAACTGTCCAGAGGCCTGGGCCAGTTCTTTCTAAGGATTATGGCTCTATACTGTTTAGGATAATGTGCCTTTCATAAAGTGTGATCCATGGACCAAACCTGGGATGACTATGAAATGCAGATTCCTGGGGATTTGTTGAGAAGCTATTGCGGACTGGGTACTAATATAATGCTGGGAATTCAGCAGGGAACAAGATAGCTAAGGTTATATTCTCACAGAGGAAGCAAAACAAAACAAGACAAAAACACCAAAGTAATAATATTTTAAGTATTAGATGGTGATGGATGGTATAATTAAAGAAGTAAAAAGTATTTTGATATATGGAGTGACTGGGGGATTACTTTTGATTGGTGGTTAGGGAAAGCCTTGCTAAGGTGATGACATTTAAGTTGAGAATAAATCATAAAAAAGAGACAGCAAAGTAGAGATCTCAAGGGAGAGTAGTCTGGGCAAAGAGAACAATGAGTACAGGGATAGGAATGAATCTATGTGTTTAAGGAAGGCAAAGAAGCTGCCGCACAATGAGTGCAAATAGGTAAGTGAGAAAGGTAGAAAAGGCCAGATCATAAATGGCCATACAGGTCAGAGTGATGGAAGACACTGAAGGGCTTTACGTAGGTGAGTGATATTCGATTTATGCTTTCAACAGATCACTCTAGCTGTTTTGAGAATGCATTATAGTAAATTAGAGTGTAAGCAGGGAGACCAGTTAACACTAGCGCAGTTGACTGGGTGAAAACAGTGGTGGCTTGAACTAGGGTGACAGGAATGGAGATGGAGAGAAGCAGAAAGATTTAGATTATATTTTGGAGGTAGAGTCAACAGGACTTCTTGACAGGTTTTTTTTTTTTTTCCTTGCGTTATGCGGGCCTCTCACTGTTGTGGCCTCTCCCATTTGCGGAGCACAGGCTCCGGACGCGCAGGCCCAGCGGCCATGGCTCACGGGCCCAGCCGCTCCGCGGCATGTGGGATCCTCCCGAAACGGGGCACGAACCCGCGTCTCCTGCATCGGCAGGCGGACTCTCAAGCACTGCGCCACCAGGGAAGCCCCTTGACAGGTTTTGATGTAGGATCTCTATATAGTCTGGGAAAACTCCTAGTAATTCTCATGCATACTTGAGTTTGAAAAGCCTGACCTAAATGGCTGAATGTTAGTTTGGCCTAGACAAGATTCAGATGGGTGTGAGAGACTTCAAAAATCTGAAGTGTGTCATATGGAAGACAATGCAGAGTGGAACATTCAGTTTGACAAATTTTGGCTCAGTATAAGGAAGCGCACCCTGATGAGTGAGATTAAGATGGAAGTAATGGGTTCTCTATATTGGAGCTGTTCAACCAGAGGCTGAAAGACACTGGGGAGATGTCTTTGGTGAAAAACACTGGTGAGAATGTTATAAGGCAAATTAAGGCATGATATATCTGTGAGAGTTCTGTGATTTTCACATTTAAGAGCATAAGAATGCTTTTTTTTTCTCCCAGATGAAATTTTATACAACATCCAACATATAAAATAGTTAAGAGTTGAGTGGTTCTGACTAAAGTAGGGGTAGAGGGTTACTCACTTAAGCATTTACCCCTCAGCAACATTTCAGGTACCTCTATAGGAACGTGTTGTTCTGAAGAACATGGTTTGGACTAGATTTAATTTTAAGGTACTTTTTAATTCTGAAATTCTACAATTATGTAATGTGGCTTCAAGTATACAACAGATACTCTTCAGACAAATATCAATGTCAAATTTTTAAAAAACAGACAAAATTTCAATTAAGCATAAGATAGAATTAATGATATTAAAGGAAATTCCCCATTTCTGACTATTTTCATTTATTTTAAAACAATCTTAGACTACTATTGCTGCTCCCTCTTTGAAAAAGTACCACAAGTTTACCTAGGGGCTTTAAAAATTATTTTCAATAACTTTCTGTTATAGAAAATTTCAAACATATTCAAAAGTAAAGGCAATAATAGTCCAGTGAACTCAATATTGTCATCACCCAGATTCAACAATTATGTGTTGGCTAACCTTGTTCCATCTAACTGCTATCCATTCCCCCACTTCTGATTTTTTGAAGAAAATTCTAGAGTCATATGCTTCCGTTTGTGAATATTTTAGTATGTCTGAGAGACAAGGATTCTTTTTTTAAACACAACCACTGTATCAGTCAGAGTATCTCTCATATAACTCTAACAGATAGAATCCGATATGAAGAATTGCTACCTTTGTACTGAAGAACTGAAAAAGCAAAAAGGGAACACTAAGGTATCACTGAGCCAGTAAATGCAGAAAACGGCGAGCAATTCTAAGACTGAGGAAACAAAAAGAAGAGGATGGAATTATTACAACTTTAAATGCTCAGAAGAGGCACCCGGCAGAGCTGAAGCTCAGACCTCAGAGGAGGGGCTTTGCTTGGCTGTTGCAGGTATCTCTGAGGAGGGTGCTCTTTAGCTGCTACCGTGAGTGCGGGAAAAATTGCAAAGTGAAATTAACTGTTGCCACTGAAACAAGCTCTCAGTACTCTGTTGTGTGAGACTTACTAGGGTAATGCTGACAGGAACGGGAAACAAAAACAAGAATAGGAAGCAGACAGGAAGATGCACTCCCCTGCTCCTCTTCCAGCTTTCCAGTCTCCCTGTACTGCCCCCTATGGGCTGACTCCCCTGCTGGCAAAGAGGGAATGTGGTTTGCAGAGCTGCAGCCCCAGCCATGCAAAGAAAAGATAGGCCCATTTTCATATCTAAAAAATATTAACAAAAGTTTTGTAATATCAAATATACAGATAGTGTTCACATTTTTCTGAGAGCTTTATAATTTTTTTTGTAATTTATTTATTTGAATCAAGATCCAAATAATACCCATATATTGCTATTGATAAGAACTCTTTTTTTTTTTTTTTTTGTGGTATGCGGGCCTCTCACTGCCATGGCCTCTCCCGTCGCGGAGCACAGGCTCCAGACGCACAGGCCCAGCGGCCACGGCTCATGGGCCCAGCCGCCCCACAGCATGTGGGATCTTCCCGGACCGGGGCACGAACCCGTGTCCCCTGCATCAGCAGGCGGACTCCCAACCACTGCGCCACCAGGGAAGCCCAGAACTCATTTTTAATTAAGGCAAAACAACTCTGTAGAGGGATGATGGAAAGGAACTCACCTGCATAGAAGAGAAATGTCAGGAAGGTATCTCTGACATACAATAAAATCTCCTTAGGATAAAGAGCCCAGGGAATGAATGAATTTGAGAGGAATTTATGTCTCAACGAAGCCCAGACTCATTTTTAATTAAGGCAAAACAACTCTGTAGAGGGATGATGGAAAGGAACTCACCTGCATAGAAGAGAAATGTCAGGAAGGTATCTCTGACATACAATAAAATCTCCTTAGGATAAAGAGCCCAGGGAATGAATGAATTTGAGAGGAATTTATGTCTCAACCTCAACCGTGATGCACATTAGAAAGGCCGTGATGCACATTAGAAAGGCCGTGATGCACATTAGAAAGGCAACTTTGGTTGACAGAATGCAAGTATCCTAGCCCATACCTTATTAAAATACACGAAAAGTTAAACAAAGAGTGGTGCTAGTGATAAAGACTGCATACTAATACAAGTCTGACAAAAAAATTAAATATTCAGATCATTTATAAACTCAATGTCCTATGTGTCTGTACAATACTCCTTAAGAAGCTTAAGGTCTACTATGAAGCTTTGGTATAGAAATATTCAATACTTTCAAAAGTTAAAGCCTTTATCAAAATTGATATTACCGGGCTTCCCTGGTGGCGCAGTGGTTGGGAGTCCGCCTGCCGATGCGGTGGACGCGGGTTCGTGCCCCGGTCCAGGAGGATCCCACATGCTGCGGAGCGGCTGGGCCCGTGAGCCATGGCCGCTGAGCCTGCGCGTCTGGAGCCTGTGCTCCGCAACGGGAGAGGCCACAGCAGTGAGAGGCCCGCGTAACGCAAAAAAAAAAAAAATTGATATTACCTAAAAACTCTTTTTAAAAAATTAGAAGGTGAGATGGTCTAGGTATAGGGAGGGAGATACGAGGTGTAGCAACTCCATTCTCCTCTGTCCCCCAAGTGCTGCATCAATAGTGTTGGTGGTCAAGAAAGATCTTATCCAGGATAACAGGTAGGTGCAAACAGCTCTAGTATGTTTCTACAAATAAAAAAACATAACATTGAGAAGCTCATAGCTGAGGTTTTGTTCTGTTCAGTGTTATTGTGCTGTCGTGTGATTTTTCTTTCTCTTTCTGACTTGCAATTTGGATATACAGGGTGTCCCTTGATATCTGTGGGGGATTGGTTCCAGGAGCTTCTATAGATACCAAAATCTGAAGATGCTCAAGACCCTTATATAAGATGGTATAGTACAGTGAATACAAGTCAGGCTTCCATATCCGCAGATGCAAAGCCCTCAGATACGGAGGGCTGACTGCAGTATATAAGGAAGAGACCTCTAAGGTGACAATGAATGTTAAAAAACTTATACTTCTCTTACTAATCAACACATAGTTAGAGGGCTCTCTTATTAGAAAAAGAGATTAAAGGAAGCACCTAGTAAGAGCTTTTGAAGCTTTGAAGCTTCTAGAGCCATGGGAGGTTAACTCTGAAATGGGAGATTCAGGATGCAGCAATGCTGTTCAAAACTGAGAAAAGAGCATATTAAATGAGCCTGGTGAGAACACACTTAGATGTGTGCGTTCTCTAAAATGTAATTCTAAATGTTTGAAAATATAGTTAATAATTGCTAGGTATGTATAGTTTTAAAATGCAGGTTCATTCTTTTTTACACAAAGATATATGACCAGAAGAGTTCCCGCAATCATGTCTAAGGAGCAACAAGGCTTGTAAATCAAACGCCAAGATTCACTTGGTAGAAACACAGGCTAATTTTAGCCATAATACTCGGAAGAAATAAAGCCGTTGGAGTGATGTCCTGGCAACCTAAATTTAAAAAGCTAAGATGAAAGTCAAACAATATTAGATTAGGAGCAATGGTTTCAACTTACTATTTTGCAAAATAGCACCATCTACACTTTGAAGCTTGAATGAAAGCAAACTGAATATGTCTGCCAGTTCTTACCTGTACCTCCATACTTGTCTGCCATGTTAATGTCAATGTCAGATTTTAAACTCAGCATAGTCCTAAGGACGTCATCACTGCCTTTCCCAGCAGCCCACATAAAGGATGTTCTTCCTTCAAGGTCTGAATCATCTTTTACTGAAGGATGTTTTAGAAACACTTTAACTGTTTCCTGTAAGAAAACTTCATTTAAAAATTTGAAACAAGAGAGTGGCATTTTCTTTGGTAAGAAAGCCAGTGTTATATGTGACTTCCACTAAGAAGCAAAGTATTTTTTCCTCTACTTTTTTCTTTTTTTTTTGCGGTACGCGGGCCTCTCACTGTTGCGGCCTCTCCCGTTGTGGAGCACAGGCTCCGGACGCGCAGGCTCAGCAGCCATGGCTCATGGGCCCAGCCACTCCGTGGCACATGGGATCTTCCCAGACCGGGGCACGAACCCGTGTCCCCTGCATCGGCAGGCGGACCCTCAACAACTGCGCCACCAGGGAAGCCCCTTCCTCTACTTTTGAATCAAATGAAATTATCTTTTTATGAATAACAAAATTACAATTTCCATTGAAAGTAACAATCTTCTGTCCTTATACATTGGTTTTAGTTTTCATAGCACTTCAAAAATATAACCTAACTCCCTCACTCAACATTCTAATAATTGAGAATGATCATCCTCAATTAAGTTTAAAAACTCAACTGCAGAGAAGCCTAATACATTCTCTCACTGTATGTTTTGTTGCTATTTTTAAAAATAGTGCATTTATCAAATAATTATGGGTGGTTACTGAGAAATGCAGTGTTCAATTCATCTAAACAAATATTTATTCAGCATTTCCTACATTCAAGGTCCTTCCTCTATAGAATCATACAAAAATTAGGGCCCTTAGTAATTCTAATAGTGTTTAACAATTTTAATGGGGGTTAATATTCATAGCATTTAAAATTGCATTTTTCCTCAAAACTCAGATGCTTACAAGCTTTTAGGAAGATCATGGAAACTTTTGCTTGAATGGAAATAAAATAGTTTCAGAAGAAAACAATTTCTGGAGGCTGTGAGTTGGCCAAAAATATACAAAATGTTGATGATCAATATTTCAGAGCAAGAAAAAATTTAAGGGCTCATCTCGTTCAGCTCCTCATTTTACAGGTGATATTTAGACTCAAGGTCATATAAGAGTTGGTAGCAGTTAACAGGAGTAGAATGCAGGGTTAAATCACTGTACTCTTTCCACTGTAACACACACTGCTTCCTAGTCTTAAAACTAGATGCTGAGCTACTGAGGTATTACAGCTTAGTGCTCCTTAGGATCTAGTGTATGTCCTTATTAAGTAGATTTGAATAAAGAAATAAAATTTTGGGACTTCCCTGGTGGTTATGAATCCAGTGCAGCGGACATAGGTTCAATCCCTGGTCCAGGAAGATCGCACATGCTGCGGAACAACTAAGCCTGTGTGCCACAGCTACTGAGCCTGCACTCTAGAGTTTGTGAGCCAGAACTACTGAGCCCACGTGCCACAACTACTGAAGCCCGCGCACTAGAGCCCGTGTCCGCAACAAGCCACCGCAATGAGAAGCCCGCACACTGCAACGAAGAGTAGCCCCCGCTCGCCACAGCAAGAGAAAGCCCATGTGCAGCAATGAAGACCTGATGCAGCCAAAAATAAGTAAATAAATAAATTTATAAAAAAAAAGAAATAAAATGTTGGTGATTTGGGGGGTTTCTTTTAATAATTTGCAAACATTTTTTTGTTGAGTATGTTTTCTTAATGATGAATGTTTGCAAGGGTTTTATAGGACTGTTGTTGTTGATGATGTTTTTTAAAAAGAGAATTTCAACCTCTTGTGAATTAATAGAGTCCCAGGAGATCAAGGGACTTGAAACTGAGCCTATAAAATTTGCATAATTATTAAAAAACTATTTCTGTAATTGGCAGATTGTCTAAAGCAAGTGTTTCTTTGAATAAACATCTATAATGTTCTAGCGTTCTTTCTTACTTGCATTAGCACAGTTACTTAATTACTGGTTTCTGTACATAGGTTAAATTTGGAGTCTAAGACTTGGGTTCAAGATCTTGAGCAAATCATTTAATCTCTTGGAACCTTGGTTTCTTCAGCTGTAAGTAAGGATAACATGTCCTTTCATAGGCCTATGTTGAAATATGGATTGAATTCTGATTTCCATAGGTTACTAGACTGGGCCAACTGGATTTCTTATCTATGTGTAATAAGAATGAACTCCTCCTCAAAAACTCTGTATTTTTCTGAGATCTTGGGAGATAATAGAAGATAATAGTTTACCAAAACTTTAGGTGATATATAGAATAGATTTTTAGGAATGCCAAGAAGGGGGATGATTGCTATAGTTGCTCTGGGTATCAAAGAGAAAGAAAAGTGGGAAAATAAGATATTTTCTCAATCCAAGAATTCAGTGTATTCAATAGTGCATTTGGGGAGGTCAGGAAGATGGAATTATACTATGCTGATGATAACATTCTCATAATTTAATGAAACCAGGTGTTTCACTATGCACTCTCATGTAGAAGGCAGCAAAATCCACTGTGACTGCGTTAATGTGTGCCTCTTTGGATGTGTCTCTAGTTCTTAGTGGCCACTCATACTCAGGAGGCTGAAGCAGCCTAGACATTATCATGTTGCTGGCTGGACTGAGTGACATAATGGATGAGAAAGTACTTTGTAAACTGTAAAGGGTGGCAGGAAGGAACTATTAATAATAGTTAATATCTTTGAATATATCAATAATTCATATTTTTGCTTTCTCAGATGTACAATATACAAAATTATTAGCACAAATAATAATAACAATGAATGCTATTTCTTGAATACCTACTCTATGCCAAGTATTACACTAGGCACTGGTCATAAACTTTCTCTAATCCTTACAGTAATCCTAAAAGAAAAGGTATAATTATTCTCATTTTACATATGAAGAAACTAAGATTCAGAGAGGTTAAGAACTTATGCAAGGTCATACAGCTAGCAAATAGCACAGTCAGGATTCTAGCCAAGGTCTATCTAGTTCTAAAGCCTTGCCCACTGCCTTCAGGACAATTATAGATTGCCAAACACTAGATTGTCTTTAGTGTCTTACAATTAACAAAAAAGATTAAGTACACTTACAGTAAAGCAAAATGCTACACTGAACAGTTAAAATAAAAATTCTTTAAAACTTCCCATGTGACTAACAACTTTATAAAAATTTAGACTATCACCTGAATCAGAGAGTGAACAGTATGAGCAATTGTTAAAAAATAATTGCTACACAAACACACAAATGAGTACATGTAACAGTGTGAAATCTGAATAAGGTCAGTGGATTATATCAATATCAATTTCCAGTTTATGACATTATATTATACTTTTGCAAGATGTTACCACTGGAGTGAACTGAATGAAGTGTACATGGGATCTTGCTGTTTTATTTCTTACAACTGCATGTGAATTTACAATTATATCAAAATAAAAATTTAATTAAAAAAAAGATAATTGTCATGGTTTACTTACAGCAAAGTTACTCTGAGCTGCATAGTGCAAGGGTGTTGCTCCTTGGCTGTCAGATGGGATGGTTCCAGACTTATTTCTTTCTAAAAGGAGATGGACAATCTGTGCGTGGCCTGAAAGCAGACACAAGGTAGTTATCACATAAAAGGACTGATTCATTTATAATCTATTTAAAGGAAAGGGGTAAGAAAAATCATTAGCACATAAACCAGCATTCACAATGCCCAGTGCAGCCTCTTCTAACTTCTCACGAAAATACATGATTATGTAGCACAAAGGCAAAAACTTACAACACTAAAAACTTAATGCTTCAACCAGGAAGGAAACGACTAATTATAATAGCCAGATTGAGAAAAAACTGTATTAGGTATCAGCTCACTGCATCCCCTGGCTTCACCTTATAAAACTGCTCATAAAAACAGAAGGCGGCACGTTAGAAGCCAGCCCCTCTCAGCCATCAGTGTCCCTAGTCTCCAGGTTCCATTGCACCATCAATCAGAACTGCACGGTTGTCCTCTTCTACTATTCAGGAGGACAACCTATAATACAAACTCTTGTGACCTCTGAGGCCTTCTATCCATCCCCTCCAACCTCCCTCCCCCAATTTTTTAACATCTAGGCAGTGATTTCAAATCCCAGAAAACAAGTGGGCAGGAATGATGAGGTGGTAGTAGAGAAACATGCTCTGCAGTACACTTTGGAGGATGTGGATGTGGTCTCCACAAGTGAAGAACTGTAGAAAGGATCAAAGAATAAATAAGCCAGGTAATAGTATATTTAGGAAACCTGAATTTCATACATGTCATTGCTTCAGTGTATAGGGAATGAGGCAATGAAGAAGATGCCACATTAGCAGAGCAAGAATACACTGCATGAAAGCCAGGCAGAAAAAAAGTAAGTTGAGTGGGAGTTGTGCTCGTCTACCTGCTCTCCAGCTATGGTTTGACATGGAGTTCTCCATAACATGAATGGGCAAAAACAGGATCAAAGGCAATCTATGCACATAGTCAATCTAAATATCTCTCTTTTTTTTTTTTTTTGGTATGCGGGCCTCTCACTGTTGTGGCCTCTCCCACTGCGGAGCACAGGCTCCGGACACGCAGGCCCAGCGGCCATGGCTCATGCGCCCAGCCTCTCCGTGGCATGTGGGATCCTCCCGGACCGGGGCACGAACCCGTGTCCCCTGCATCGGCAGGCGGACTCCCAACCACTGTGCCACCAGGGAAGCCCTAAATATCTCTTGTTTGAAAGATAAAGAGAAAAATTCAGAAAAGGCTATATGAAAACATACTCTAGGACAGGGAGAAAGGAACACCATCAGAAAGAAGAGCATACCTCAGAAAATGATCTAGAGAAGGATCCAGAGGAAAATTTCAGGCAACTGTTTGGCATCCTTGACTTTTGCAAAGAGATGGCCTCTATGAAATGAAACAGAATATCCTAAGAAGAGAATAATCTAAAATGAAAAGATAATGGAAGGAGATAAAAAGGAAAAAAGCTGAGATAAAAAGAAATATGGATGAGTGAAGAAAATCAAAATATAACCTAAAATACAATCTATAAGAGGCAGAAAGAAAGCTGAACTTGTGAAACACAAGTCAATTTAGTGCTGTGGAGACAAATTTGCAAAGTCCTCCTAGAATGCAGAGGAAAAGGGATGAAACTGCACCTTGAAATGAAGTCTAAATAATAATTATAAATCTGACTACAAAACTGAATGCAATCACTTTTTTTTTTTTTTTGCAGTACGCGAGCCTCTCACTGCTGTGGCCTCTCCTGTTGCGGAGCACAGGCTCCGGACGTGCAGGCTCAGTGGCCATGGCTCACGGGCCCAGCTGCTCCGCGGCATGTGGGATCTTCCCGGACCGGGGCACGAACCCGCGTCCCCTGCATCGGCAGGCGGACTCTCAACCACTGCGCCACCAGGGAAGCCCTGAATGCAATCATTTAAAAAAGAGATAATGTGTAATTTAAAAATTAAGTCCATAATAATGGTTTATTATAATTATTAATATTAATTAATAATTACTATCAGATTGTATTTACAAATACCCAAAGAATGATAAGTGAAAGTGTGCTAAATTCCTCATTTTAAATAGATGGGAATCAATAGACACAGTTTTGCTCTGGACTCTGACTTAGGCTTAAAAATTTTAAAGTAACTACTAGTAGAACCTAAAAATCCTCCTAAAACATTAGGCAATTCAAAACCAAACAACAACGAATGTAATCCACACACCACAAGGCAGAAAACAAAGGAATCAGGAAAAAAACCAAAACACTAATAATACTCAAAGAGCAGAATAACAGAAAAAAGATCAAATTATACAAGTTATAACAATGATTATCAGTGGGTAAAACTCCTTCACTAAAAGAGAAAGACTTTCAGATTGCCAAAAATCAGACACATACACATATATATTCTCTCATCTAAAAAAGTGATCCCCAAAAAGATTAAGTCAAAGGCATATCAGCAAATATGATGAAAAGGAAATAAAATATCATAGTATTAGCTCACACATAAAATTAAAGCCCTTCTCCAAAAAAGCAAAAGCATTGAATGTGATGATTATTTTATATTTACATTTGTCAACAAATGTGCATTACTTTTATAATAAAAATGAAAAGACACGATGTTGAAATTAATATATAACAGAGAATACATTTTATATTACTAAAACTTAAGCTTACAACAGAGGGATTTAGGTATAAAGTGCCACATATCAATTAAAAACTAAAACAATTAAATAGGAGGTGGGAGCTGGCAGGGGGAGAGAAGCCATGGAAAATTTCCTATACTCATGCAGTTCCTCTTGCTGTTGATCCTTGGTTTCACATTCAACTCACCTAGTAAAGCTGCCCAGTGAAGAGGCGTTCGAAATAAGTTATCGTAAGATGTTATATTGCAGCTTTCGTATGAGGTCAGGACATCAACCACTGTCACGTTCCCATCAGCAACTGCAAAGTGAAGAGGTGTTCGACCCTCATAGTCTTGCCAGTTCAGTAACGACTCTGTTGGAGCAGCATCCTATTTTTAAGGAACCAGAGACCTCAGACATACATAGAATCCTTACTAAATTACATTTGACATAGTATTAACTGAGCAATTTTTGAAACCTACATATTCTCTCTCAGCAGAAGTGATAAATTCAGAAAAAAGTGTACAGTTTAAATCTTTAAAAATTAATTTTCATATTTAACTAAAAAAGTACAGAAAAGATACAATAAACAACATGTACCATCTATCAATAGATTAAATAGGGATCAACATTTTGCCTAATGTGCTTTTTTTAATCTCTTACAGATTCAGCTAAAGGCATATGTTTTGTATTTTTGCTTCATATATATACATCCATAAACAACAGTTAAATTTTGTATGTGTGTTTTCAATATTTATACTTATGTATTATACCATACATATCCCTGAATTTTTTCTTTCAAAATTATACTTTTGAATTTTTAATTTCAACACAATACATTTGGGTATCTATGATGATACTAGTCCATTTGTTAAACCACAATTTAGTTAACCATTCTCCTACTGAGGGATATTTAGGTTATTTACATTTTTTCCCACTATTAACAATAATGCTGCAATGAACACACTTCCTTTACATGTCCCTTTGTGGCACATGTGATTCTTCTCTAGCCCAGACACCTAGATGGGAAATTGCTGGGTTGAAGGATATTTGTATCTTCAGCTAGTATTGTCAAACTGCTCTCTAACTGGATGTACTAATTAACACATCCATGACGATGTGTAAAAGCTTTTATTTCCCCACATGCTGGTACATATTAACCACTTAGTATTATCAAACTTACAACATTTTTCCCCTTATAGGTATGAAAAGCATTTCACTGATGTTTTAATTTGTATTTCTTTTATGAATGAGGTGCAGTTTTTTTAAATCATATGTTTATTGGATATTTGGTTTAAATTGATAGTTCACAACATTTATTCATTTTTCTACTGGATCTTTGTAGCAGATATGATGCATTGCTTAGGTCCCCCTTGAAGACTAAAGGACCTACTTCCCCAGCTGCTGCAAGTGTTGCCAGCAAATGACTTTCTACTGTCATCCTTTTGGAATTGCTTCAGCTAAAGAGAGTTACCTCACCCATGGTCAGGTCCCTTCTCAGATTAGGTTATATCCAAAGCCAAGCTCTCTTGTCCAAATTTAAGAACTCTCTGAAGGGCCATCCCAGATTTAGAGCTGTCTATACAGTCAGGCTATTTTACAAAAAAGAGTATTAAAGATATTATAAACACTTCAAAAAAGGAAGTAGAGTATTACCACAATGGTATTCTAGGCCCTTGAGTCTCCCAAGGACTTAGATGCATTTATAAGGGAGAAAAAAAAAGCCAAATCTGTGAGGAAATAAGATATTATGAGTGACAATCATCCTCCAAAGACTTCAGATCTTGGAATTAACACATAAAGAATATAAAATAGCTATCTATGAAACATGTAAGAAAATAAAAAATGAAATAAAAGGTGAGCAAGGAACAAAAATTCTCAAAATGATCAGGCAGATCTGAAAAAGAACCAAGTAGAACTTTTAGAAGTGAAAATATAATCACTAAGATTGAAGACTAAATGAATAGGGTAAACAAGAGATTGGATGCAGCTGAAGAAAGACCTGGAAAACTGGAAGGCAGATCTGATGTAATTACCCAGAATGTAGTAGAAAGAGACAAGATGATAGAAATGTAAAAGAGAAGTTAAGAGACATGGAAAGTAAAATGGAAAGGTCTAAAATATGTATTCCTGGAGACCCCATAGGCAGGAGTAGAGAGAATAAAAGAGATGCAATATTTAAAGAGATAATGGTTATATATTTTCCAGAAATGAGATGCAATAATCAGAATGTATACCAAACAGGAAAAAAAAAAAAAGGTATACCTAGACAAACCATAGTAAAACTGTAGTATGCCATATAGAAAAATTTTAAAAAGCAGCCTGAGAGAAAAGATATCTATAAAGGGATGACATAGACCAATAACAGGCTCTTCAAGAGGAACTAATGAAAGGCAGAAAGCAGCAAAATGACAGTTTGAAAGAGTTGAGAAAAGTAACTACTTAGAACTGTGTATACAGGAAAACTATATATTCAAGAGCATAGTAGAAATGTAGACATTTTTAACAAATAAAATCAGGGAGGGCTTCCCTGGTGGTGCAGTGGTTAAGAATCCACCTGCCAATGCAGGGGACACGGCTTCAATCCCTGGGCTGGGAAGATCCTACATGCCATGGAGCAACAAAGCCCATGCACAACTACCGAGCCTGAGCTCTAGAGCCCACCTGCCACAACTACTGAAGCTTGTGTGCCTAGAGCCTGTGCTCCACAACAAAAGAAGCTCACACACTGCAATGAAGAGCAGCCCCTACTCACCGCAACTAGAGAAAACCCATGCACAGCAACAAAGACCCAACACAGCCAAAAAAAACAAAACAAAACACAAACAAATAAATAAGTTTATAAAAAAAAATCAGGGAGTTTACCACCATAGATCTACACTAAAGGAAGTTCTAAGAATTATATTTTAGGAAGTAGGATAATTATAACTCTAGAAGGAAAATTTGAGACTCAAGAAGAAATGCAGAGCAAAGAAATTAGTTAACACACAAGTAGAAATCAATTTTCATTGTACAAATAAAACAATAATATCTTTTAAAGTCTAATTTGTGTGTTATAAGCAAATAGGACTAAATATTAGACTACCATAGCCTGTAAGTTGGAATTTGGGGAGGAGTGATTAGAAAACTTCAAAGAATATACTGATAAATATTCAAAATTAATAAGAAAGTATAGCAAATTGGTTAAATATATAATTAATGGCCCAAACTATCAATTGCATTTCTATACACCTGCAACAACCAGTTAAATACATACCCTAGATACCCTAGATATGCTTTTAAAGAAGGTTCAGAGCAGCACTGTTGTAAATAGCAAAAAACTGGAAACAGTTCCAAATGTCAGTCAATAACAGACTGAATAATGTGTGTCATTTAATCTTCACAAAATGGAATACTATACAGCAGTAAAAAGTAATATATTACAGCTACACACAGCAACATAGATAGAATCACTAGCTTAACACTGAGCAAGAGAAAAGTATGTTGTGGAAGAATACATACAGTATGATTCTATGAATATAAAATTCAAAAATGTTAAAAACTAAACAATATATTTTTTAGGGATACAAACACATGTCAAAACTATAATGAAAACCAGTGGAATGATAAGCACAAAACTGAGGATAGTGGCTGACTCTGAGAAAGGAGAGAAAAGAACGGTACTGGGAGGTATCCAGGGAACTTCAATGGTAATGTACTTGGCTCCTCAACTCAGTGATGAGTACATGAGTATTTGTTGTTTCCTTATATATCTTAAATGTATTATATAAATATTCACTTACATCTATTTACTATTTAATAAGAACAAGTATAAAACAAAGACAGGGATGATAAATATAAACTCAGAAAAGTAGTTGGTAGGGGACAGGAATGAGCATGGCACAGGGAGAGAGAATGTATTTGGAAACTGGCACATAGGAAAGTTCTGTTTGGTCTTAAATAACAGTATTAAAATGTTTTATTTCTTGGTGATGAGCTCACATGTTTGTTATACTCTTTTGCTTCATAATTTGGTTGTGTGTCATATAAATGCTTTTGCATATATTGGATATTTCATTATATATATATATATATTTTGTGTGTGTGTGTGTGTGTGTGTGTGTGTGTGTGTATGTATATATATATTTGGAAAGGCCATCCATTATACCCACCAGAATGCATCGCACTGTATGAACAGCACTCGGATCTTTGTGGTTGGCTGCCCAGTGAAGTGGGATCTTGCCTTCAACATCAGGAATTCCAATGTTGGAATCATGCTTGATGAGCAGCTTCACATGCTCAGGGTTATTGTAGTAGGCACTCCAATGCAGAGCTGTTTGCTGCAAAATTGAGAGATTCTCAAAATAACAATAACTACAGCAACAGTGAAAACACAACAACTCTTCCCAAACTTTCAGTGTGTGACAGGCACTGTCATAAGAGTTTTATATATTTTATCTCATGTAGTCTATATCATGACAACTCTGGGAAATGAGTACTCTTGAATTTGCATGCGACTGATGAGGAAAGTTAAGTACGAAGAGGATAAGTAATCTGCTCAAGGGTGTGAAGGTAGCAAGTGACTGAATAGAGATTTTAAACCCAGGCAGTCTGACTCCAGAACCTGACATCTTAACCATGGCAGGGATTTAGGTCATCAAGTACTAATAACTGATAATACTGAGAAAGAAAAACCCAGTGAAATATTTTATGAATAATTATCAACAAAGGAAGTGATCATCTTTTTTTTTTTTTTTTTTTTTTTTTTTGTGGTCCGCGGGCCTTTCACTGTTGTGGCCTCTCCCGTTGCGGAGCAACAGGCTCCGGACGCGCAGGCTCAGCGGTCATGGCTCACTGGCCCAGCCTCTCCGCGGCACGTGGGATCCTCCTGGACCGGGGCACAAACCTGTGTCCCCTGCATCGGCAGGCGGACTCCCAACCACTGCGCCACCAGGGAAGCCCCAAGTGATCATCTTGATATTGCACTAAGCACCTTAAGAATTTGATAGAAGGTTTATATTTTAGTATCTATCAGAAAAGATCCATGCATAGGAAATCATGGATCTAGAATCCATTTTTTATATCAAAGGATAAATTTAAATTTAACTATAATTTTACAGGATAAATTAAGATATATTTTGAAAATACAGCAACACTTGCTTTATTTTTAGATAAAGTTAAAAATGAACATGCTGAATTTGCCAATGTTGCTTTAAAAATCTCTTCTGCCATTCTCATCAACATACTGGTTTCTCTATTAGGAGAACTATTAATGAAACCACAGAGAAACTGTTTAGATATACTTTATGCCTTGAGAGTAGCATTGTCATGAATCCAATCTAGAATGAGATCATTTAACAGCAGGAACCAAGCTCAACTGTCACATTAAAAACTTTAAATGTTGGCATATGTGGTATTCATTCAAAGTGAACCTACAGGCGTCTACCATGTAGAGTTATTAACTCATTACTTTTTGTTTAGTGATAACTGCAGAACAAAAAAGTCACAAATATCAAAGCAGTTAATCGCCTAAAACCACATTTTCAGTAAACAACATGTACAGTTTCTGTAGTTCTTTTCTTTTCCTATATTTGTTTTTTTTAAAGAATTAATTAATTTTTGGCTGCGTTGGGTCTTCACTGCTGTGCGTGGGCTTTCTCTAGTTGCGGCGAGCTGGGGCTACTCTTTGTTGTGGTGGGCGGGCTTCTCATTGTGGTGGCTTCTCTTGTTGTGGAGCATGGGCTTTAGACACGTGGGCTTCAGTAGTTGCAGCACGTGGGCTCAGTAGTTGTGGCACACAGGCTTAGTTGCTCCACAGCATGTGGGATCTTCCTGGACCAGGGATTGAACCTGTGTCCCCTGCATTGGCAGGCGGATTCTTAACCACTGCACCACCAGGGAGGTCCCTGTTCTGAATATATTTACTGAAATATATTATGCTGTTGAACCTAACAGTAAAAAGTTTGGGGTTGCATTTTTTTACATCTTTGTTTTTTATTTTTCTAGTAATTCTTTTTTTTTTTTTGACTGTGGTAAAATGTACATAACATAAAATTTACCATTTTAACTGTTGCTAAGTGTAGTGTTCAGTGGTATTAAGTACGTTCACATTGTTGTGTAACCATCAGTACTATTTATCTCCAGAATTTTTTCATCTTCCCAAACTGAAACTCCATACCCATTTAACAATAACTCCCAATTCCCACCTCCTCCCCATCACCTGGCAACCACCATTCTACTTTCTGTCTGTATGAATTTGACTCCTCTAGGTACCTCGTAAGTGGAATCTTACAATACTTGTCTTTTTGTGTCTGACTTTTCACTTGGCATAATGTCCTCAAAGTTCATCCACATTGTAGCATGTGTCAGAATTCCATTCCTCTTTAAGGCTGAAAAATATTCCACTGTATGTATATACTGCATTTTTTTAATCCAGCTGTCCATCAAAAGACATTTGGGAGGTTTGTGAGTAACATCTTTGGGCTATTTTGAGTAACGCTGCTATGAACATGGATGTACAAATATCTGTTCGCATCCCTGATTTCAATTCTTTTGGGTATATAACCAGAAGTAGATTTACTGGATCATACAGTAGTTCTATGTTTAATTTTTTGAGGAACTGCTATATTGTTTTCCACAGTGGCTGTACCATTTTACATTCCCACCAACAGAGCACAAGAGTTCAAATCTCTCCACATCCTCACCAACACTTGTTATTTTTTTTTGTGATAATAGCTATCTTAAAGGGTGTGAAGTGCTATCTCACTGTGGTTTTTGATTTGTGTTTCTTTTGTGATTAGTTATATTAAGCATCTTTTCATGTGCTTATTGGCCATTTGTATATCTTCTTTGGAGAAATGTCTATTCAAGTCCTTTGCCAGTTTTTTAATTGAGTTGTTTGGTTTTTTGTTGCTCACTTTTAATGTATTTTATAATACGATTGGTCTGTGACAGATTAGAAATTTTAAAAAAAACCGATCCTTCACCTCAGATGGTTTGAGACTCAGTGCTCTATGCTTTTGTCCTTCTTTCTTCTCTGTGGTTGCCTGGACTATGCAGATCCATTTTCCATCTCTCTGACTGAATAACCTCCCATCCCTGTTCAATAACAGAAGAACATACAGGGACTGGAAGACAGCAGGAAGTTCACAGAACGTATTGGGGAAGACATGAAGCCCAAAGACAGTTGTAGCTTCTCAAGTGATTAATGGGTCTTGTGCTTTTTTCAGTGAAATATTTATTTATTTATTTATTTAGCCACACCACGTGGCTTGCGGAATCCTAGCTCCCTGACCAGGGATTGAACCCAGGCCCTCAGCAGTGAAAAGACAGAGTCCCAACCACTGGACCACCAGGGAATTCTCAGTGAAATATTAGCACTATAAATGCTGTGAGTTAGGAATAATATTAATTTACAAGTTGTAAAATAAAGTTGATTTCAGAACTCTGGGTTATGTGAATGACTACTAAACAAAATCTAAAAATCACATAAAGAATACTATGGGAGTGAAAAGTTTATTGAATATAAACCCAGTGAATGACTTATAAGAGTTTTAATTACATGAGAGTGCTGGACTTAGCAAGACTCTATGATTAAGTGCCTGATGAAAAGGAAGAGGATGATTGCATTTGTCTAACTAAAGACCACATTTTTTTCCTGTAAGGAATGATCAGAGTGTTGATCAAAACAATGACCAATGTGTACACTATGTTAAAACTCAAGAGCAGGGAAGAAAATGGACCCTAGTAAGAATGCCAGAGCAGATGTTAGAATTAAAATGAACTAATAATAATAATTTTAAGCTAATATTTATTGAGAGAATATTATGCACTGGGCATTGTGCTAAACACTTCATATATATCATCTCATTTTATCTTCAACAACCCTTTATCCCCTTTTTGCATATGAGAAAATTGAGGAATAGAGGAGTTAAGTAATTCGATGGACATAGAACAAGTGGTGGCTTCTACACTGAAACCCAAGAAGAATGATGCCAAAGCCCAGGCCATTAAAGCACTATGCACTTAGTACATTACCCAGGGCATTTGGCCACCACAAATCTAACTACCTTTAGCAACTATCTTGACTAGCAGTCAAATACTGAGTTGGAGGTAGACAGGCCTGGTTTGAATTCTAGTCCTGCCAATTGGATCTCGGGCAGAATTTTAATCTTCTTGAGCTTCAGTTTTCCCATATGTAAAAAGATGATACTACCCACCACACCTGGTTGCTGGGAGGATAAAATGACAGAATTTAAGTGAAATACTTTACTGGGGTGTGTGGAGACTTGGAATTGTTCTACCATGCATGAGTGGTAATTTAGGCCTTGTTCCTTGAGATTTCACATCATAAAATAAAGCATTTGCTTTCTGCTCTATTTGTCTTCGATTTTGACAGTCCGTTACCTTGTTTTTATCCTGTGTATCCACTTCTCCTGGTGCCATAAACTTCAGCAGAAGTGCCAAACACTTAGGGCTCTTGTGCCGTGTAGTCAAGTGTAAAGGAGTCATTTCTTCTAGATCCTTCTGCATCCAGTTTGCTCTGCGTGTAAGTAAGAGTTTCATGAAACGATAATTTCCCTAAATAAAAAATAAGTGACAGTAAGAAGAAATTTAGTTTGGAGCCAAAATTATTTTTAAATTTTAAAATGTTTTAAGCATTTTAATTATTCTGCTAGAATAATAACATTCAGATAAATTAATAAAAGGAAAATACTTATAATTCTACTACTCTAACAATTGTTTTATTTTTTCATGTTTCTTTCCAACCGCTTTCTATATGCATTTAGTTTACTCAGTGGCTGGTCAATATTTCATTGTGTTAAGGCAAGACATTTTATTTAATCATTCTATTATTGCTTATAATATTTTTTAATAGAAAATGCTACAATGTACATGATTTTTCACATATTTTTTTTCCATAGAATAAATTATCAGGAACCAAATAACTGGGTCAAAGGAGTTTGTGCATTTTATGGGTTTTGGTGTATTTTCCAAATTGCTATCTAGTTGCAACAATGTGTGAATGTATTAGTTTCAGCACAATCTGACCAGCACAGCACATATTATTTATATTCAAAGTATAATAACTTTGTGAAATAAGTAGAGATTTTAAACCCCAATTTACAGGTGAGGGAATTGAGATTCAAAGGGGTTAAATATTTTGTTCACAGTCATTTGGTTAATAAGGAAAAGGTGGTTAGCTTTCTTGAAGAGAGCTATTTACAGGTACAACTAAGGTAGAAGCAGCGTCCTCAAAGTTCAGGTCCCAGACTCATCTGGTCACACAAACACCAACCCAGAAATCACTGTAGGCCACCCACTTGCAGGCAGTGCTCTCCACACCAGTTAAACCCTCCAATCTGGCAGAACCAACCCATCTGGAGAAAGAAGTTTAGCTATAAGGGCTAGAGTAATACACTGGTGGGGACTCAGGTCGACCCTTTTACAGTATGTCTATGTGAGCTTTGAAACCCTTGAAAAATATTCCAGGGGCTTCCCTGGTGGTGCAGTGGTTGAGACTCCGCCTGCCGATGCAGGGGGCACGGGTTCGTGCCCTGGTCTGGGAAGATCCCACATGCCGCGGAGCGCCTGGGCCCGTGAGCCATGGCCGCTTAGCCTGCGCATCCGGAGCCTGTGCTCCGCAACGGGAGAGGCCACAACAGTGAGAGGCCCAAGTACCACAAAAAATAAATAAATAAAAAAAATTCCATAGTTCTTTTAAGCTCTTTCCTGAGATCTAGCTCCATATTTCCAATTCTGACTGGAGACTTCAATATGCTTGGTATCACAGATATTTCAAAGTCAACATGAACAAACTGCATTGCATGATCAAGTTCTCTGCCTACTTCATGTGTATTTTCTCTTTCCC